GACTATTTCTAATTTTGAGGATGAAGTATGATAGAATGAATTGTGAAGAGTAATGATAAACGGAAAAATAAAAGTGTACAGGGATGGGAATCGAACCCACAGTGTTCCGCTTACCGGGCAGATGCCATGTCCACTAGGCTCTCCTGGACATATTTTTCCGTTCATAAATATTATATAAAGTAATTAATATTACAAGTAATAAATAATAGTCGCTATTTCTCTTCAAAATAAATTTAGATTTTTCGTTTAAAGAAAACATTCGCGGTATAACTGCAATTTTCGTTTTACAATCATAAGCCGCGTTATATTGTATTTTGAATTACTTTATATAATATTTACGAACGAAATATATGTCCAGGGTAGCCTATTGGACATGGCATCTGCCCGGTAAGCGGAACACTGTGGGTTCGATTCCCATCCCTGGACACTTTTATTTTTCTGTTTATCATTACTCTTCACAATTCATTCTATCATGCTTCATCCTTGAAGTTAGAAATAGTCGCTATTTCTCTTTAAAATAAATTTCGATTTTTCGTTTAAAGGAAACATTCGCGGTATAACTGCAATTTTCGTTTTACAATCATAAGCCGCGTTATATTCCATTTTATTTTAATTTGTAATATTATTTCTTGATCTATTTTAAATTCAAATTTATATTTTATATTTATTTATTTTATTAAACAGAATATATATATATTATAAAGAGATTTATGTATTATAAAATCACCATTTGTATTTTGGTATACTGTGTGACTTCACAGCTCCCTTTGATGTGAGAAATAAATAAATATTTCTGGAGGCTACTTAAAGTAGAGAGTCATTATTACCTTATATAAATTTGTAGGATGGTTGAAACACGCTCTGGTAAGATACAAGACCCGGCACAGGAGAGAATCAAGGTTGAAGTATCTGCCAAGCCGCAAACTGGTACAACAATTAGATCTGACAAAATATAATTAAACATAATAATAAAAAAAATCATAGTATTAACAAAGATGAAGGGTAATTATTAAATAAATGAATCAATTATTTAATTCCAAAATCAATATTTATTTAGTATTATTTCTAGAGAAAGTGGAAAGTGTTGCCAATTAGATTAAATTATAAAATTTAAAATGTTTAGGAACAAAATCATAGATCCGAAAAAAAGATCTTATCCTTTCTAAATCTTTCCACTCAGGTTAATTGCGATATTCGGTCTATTAAATTATTCAGAAGGCATTTGTTTTAATTTGTCCATACGACCTTTTTAAAAAGAAGACTTTGAATTAATAATGAGACCTTATTTGAATATAAAACATTATGCCTCGCTACACTTAGCTAAAACACAAACATGGGAGAGGAAACATTGTGAATGAAAAACTGTTTGATAGTATATATATATACACTGTTTTATAAATACTTCTTAATTAATCATCGTTTGGTATTATTTATTCTGCATTTCAATTATAATGTAAGCAAATAAGAATATATTTAATAGTATGCTACATTTAATTTTAATATTTTTGGAGTGTGTGTTGAATATCAATTTAGAATTTTCGTCGCTTTTAATCACGAGATGAAAAGTTGTTAATAAATTCTTTTGTTTGAATTTGTTTAAAAAAAAAAAATTGTGTTGATATTTGTGAGGTCTGAAAATAGAATTCATTAATTTATTCTAATATTTAATTAAATGTATTAAGGCAAATTTTCTTCAATATTATTATGCAATATAAGGTATGACATGTTTTAACGACAACATGGCGACTTTTATCATTGCAGTATTGTCTATAGAGAAAATATTTGATGATGCCTTGACTCATCAATGGTAAACTCTCACAGCGGTTTCGCCAAATTAATCTTTAGACTCTATTATTGTATATAACGTATGCTTCTAATATATATTGTTATTCGTACTTTATCATTAATGTAAAATTTTAAAAATTCACACATACTTACAGCTTTATTAAGACCACCGGTCTTATACAGATTCACCGCAGGAATGAAGCACAGATAGAGCTCCTATACTCCAGGTAGCACAGAACCCGACAACAGCCTCCAGGTCCGACACAGTGGCCACCCGTACATACGTCAAGGTTAGCGTATCACTGAAAAGGCGAATGTGGAATCAGCCGCGTTCTAGTCTTCGATTTCCTCATCCAAATGGACCACGATTTAGTTTTATAATGTCAATTTACATTCTCTACAATTCATTACGAGATAAATATATTTTCTCACCCAGTACCTATTTAACGATCACACAGCTTTATTAAGACCACCAGTCTTATACAGATTCACTGCAGTAAGGAGGCATAGAGGGGAATTCTTATACTCCAAGTAGCGCAGAACCCAAAAACAGCCTACAGATCCGACGCATGTCTATTGGCCACAGATTCCACCGTTAATAAGTTAGCGCATCACTAAAAAGGCGAGTGTAGAATCATCCGCGTTCTGGTTTTTCGCTTTCCTCAACCAAATATATAAAAATATACCTTCAATATTTCTACTTTTATCCACCGAACCTTTGTCGACCCTCTGTTACCATGATATAATTATAATGTAGTGTTGATTTTTTCGTACCTAAATACTAGCCAGTTGTGTGTGCAGTATGTTGATTCAAATTACAATGCAAACCTAGTTTCCTTTCTTATTATCAGTAGTATAAATGAAAATACTTCACTACATAATCATGGTGGGTATTAGTAGACAAATATATACTAATATAAAAATCAGTTCGACTTTTTCACTTTCAAGTGTCTCAGAGCCCCTATTAATTACTTGAGCTTATTTGTTTGTTTAGAAATTTTCAGAATCAGTGGTTATTTGAGCGATTTTATTTACAATAAAAATTCGAAACTATTATAGACGCGTATGATTCTTTTATTAAAAAATAAAGAATTTATACTGCCCTTATTGTATTGAAAAAATTAATGGGTAGGCCTGGCTTTTTCCATTTAAGTAAGGGCAATTGATATTGTTTAATTTTAAAAAGAATCATACGCGTCTATTCTTTCTTCTAGTTTCTAATTTTAACAACAGATGTCTCTCTAATACATCATAATAAAATATACTCAATGCGGGAATCGAACCCGGTTCGTGGCTATAGAAAACCAACGGTTTATACCACTCGACCACCGACCCCATAAAACTAAATAAAGTAAACTATATTTATATGTTGTCTGATATCTGTTATCGATACGTTGCATGGGGAATTCACAAAAGAATAACAACCTTCAGCGAAGTTGGTGAAGGAGTTTTATATAAATATAAGGTTCAAAAATAGAGCAATCCATAAATAAATCATTAAAAAGGCATATATTGGATC